GCTGAGTCTGGGGTCTTCACGAAGACCTCACAGGGCCAGAGGGGGAAGGGCAGCCCTGCAGGCGGCCGCGTAAAGTTACTGTCCACACTCGGCAGACCTCAGAGCCATTCTTGACTGGGCAGACTTGCAGCTGGGAGCTGGCCACAGCGGGCCTCTGACACAGCATTCACTCACACATAGGCCTGGTCTCAGGGTAGCCCCAACATAGCGTCCACTCACACGGGGGTCCTCCCACAGCACAGCCCCAACTCAAGGTCCTCCACTGAAGACAGCAGCTGCGTGCACAGGCTGCTCACAGACGACGGGGCCCATGTAAACCATCTACCCTGTCTAAGAATGGTTTATTCACCGAGGAGGATGATTCCAGATACATTGATTCAGTGTAACAACATGCACCTCCCTCAGCAAAGACGCTGAAAGCAAACGCAGGCGTTTTGCGCTGGTGGGCGCTGCAGAACCCTCGTTGGCACATTGGTTAGGGTTGGGTTGGCAGTTAAAACCACCAGCCGCTCTGAGGGAGAAGGAGTTAGCGTCTCTTCCCCAAGAGAGTGACAGTCGGCAGATCTACCCCGTCCTTCAGGGTCGCCGGGAGCCAGCGGCAGTGAAGGCCGAGAGCCAGGTGGGCGCTGCGAAGTCGGCACCTATTGGGGCATGAGGGAGTGGGGGGACTATTCCATGGGGATCAGTGGGTGATAAATACCTGACACCCGTACAGGGGGCTCCAACGCAAAGTTCCTTACACACGATGCACAAGGATCACCCCACAGGACCCCCGCACCCTGTGTTCCTCACGGTTCAGTCAAGAAGGGTTGCAGCACGGAGAGCCCCCCGTGGGCAGTGTGATGCACGTGTCAGTCAGAGGCGGCTGAGTGTGAGGCGCCTGTGTGGCCTTGGGCGCATACCAATCTGCCCTGCAGTCACCACATCTGCAGAATGGCCCCATGGGTGGGGGTGGGTCCCTCCCACCTGGGAATCGAGCGACTTCACCGTCAGGCTAGAAGGCTGCTTGGGAAAAAGTTCTCAACAGGGTTTAG